AAGAAAAGCAATCAGGAAAGGAGGAAAAAGGAAAGAAGGAAGGAAAGAAGAAAAGGATGGATATATTGTCTGGGCTGACCAGTTGTTTGTGTACATGTGCTTTATTTTGTGTTTTGGTGGTACCAGAGATTGAACCCAGGGCCTGCATACGGAGACATCCCAACTCTTTTTAAATTTTGAGAGAGGGTCTTAGGAAGTTGTTTCATTGGACAGATGCTAACTTCAATATCCCACCTCAGCCTCCCACGAGCTGGAATTACAGGCACTGATAGAGGAGAAAATATAATTCCCAACCTACTACATGTCAGATATGTACAAGATCATGTCCCTCAAAATTGAATGAATTTTAAGAAACATGGTGGTAGAGGTTAAGAGTAGGAAAGATTTTCCTGGTAGCTCCTGAGAGACAGGAGGGGACCCAAAAGTAGGCTGCCACAGTCATTTTTCCAGAAATATTTTGTCGACCAAATTTACAAAGTATAAGTAGGTACAAATGTGGGCCAAATTATAATCAACTAATAAGGTTACAAGTGTAGCTGTTTATTTACTAGTGATTTCCTAGGGAAGCAGTCACATAGCAAGGGTACCAGGAAAGAACAAAGGCATTTTTGAAAAGGGATGGGTCCAAAAGCTCTGCTCCTCCTCCTGGGTGACTTTTGTCTATCTGGGTTTAAAGGACTGGGTAACTGCAATTACAATACAGTTTTAAGTTTCCACTCATCCCTCAGGGAAGTGTGCAAGTCTGACTATTGTGATTTTAATTGTTTCTCAACTTTTTTGCATTGATTCCCTCTGGGGTCTAGCCCTGTGTAGCTATCAATTTCTGTCTAATTTTGCTGCCTGTAATACTGCCACACCCGAGAGTAGTAGAATCTTAACAATGTGTAGAAAAGCTTGTCTGGAAAGGTTCTGGAGTTGAGCCTGACCAGAAGGGCCCAGAGGTTAGCACGGCCTCTCTGGGAATGGTTGTTACAACTGACCTTAGTGATTTGATAGAGTTACCATAACAAAGTGCTGCAAATGGAATGTTTGGGAAATTTATTCTGTCACAGTCCTAGACAAGGTCCAAAATAAATGTGTGTCAGGGTTAGCTCCACTGGGGAGTCTTTTATTGAGATGGGATTTCACTATATAGTTTACACTGGCCTTGGACTACATATAGCCACGTTAGCTTTGAACTCTGGCAGTGCTCCTGCCTCAGCCTCCCAAGTGCTCCACACCTGCCTTCCTTGCTGAAGTTCTGAAGGAGAATCTGATCCATGCCTCTGTCCTAGCTTCTGCCTGTTGCTGGCAATCCTTGACTTACAGATGTATCAGTCTAGATTCTGCTTCTGTCATGGATGGCCCTAACTCAGGATGACCTCAGTTTAACTCAGTTGTATCAGTAAAGACTCAGTTTCCAAATAAGGTTACAATTCCAGTACCAAGGATTGGGGTTTCAGTGTATCACTGGGGGAGGGGCACCATTAAATTATCTACACTGTGTTTATCTGCCTGCCTCTTGGACTGCTGTGTGGGCATCTGACCATATCTCCCTATGTCCAGGGTCTTCCTCTGCACCCTTTCCCACACCATCTACAGAATGATCTTCCTGGGGTACAGAATCGTATTATTCTTCTGTCTGAAAATGTTCCATGACTTCCAAGGGCAACTCTTGATTGACAGACAAATCTTTTCATTTGAGAGTGTCCCAAGGGCATACATAATGTGGAGCAGGACCTGTCCCTCCTGCTCAGGATCTTAATTGCAGCTGGCCTTCCCTGCCAAGGCCTGCTAATTAAAGCCCCTCCTGCTGGGCTTCTGAATTGTTCTGCCCCTAAGATTATTTGGGAGTCATTGAATATCCTGTGTGGTTGTTCTACCCATGCTGCCCTTGGCTTTCCTCTCAGGAGCTGGTTTATTGAGCATTACTTATTTCTTTTAGCAGCAGAAGACAAGGTGGATTTCCATAGGGCAGTTGAATTTTATCTTTTCCTAGAACTGACGGACACGTCCATGACTGTCTTCTCCTTCCTTAATCCACTGTGGCAAAAGTGACCCCTGGCTTTGAAATTGGTCTCCTGTGAAAATATGTGAAATGGGTTGGGCGTGTGTGAATGAAGCTGGGGTAGAGGATGAAATGGGCAGAAAGAATACTTAGATCATTATTTAGGGGAATGAAATTGCCAACCCAATAGATGTCTGGTAGGAGTTCATGTTCTCTAAAATCGCAGAATGAATTTTAGGAATAACAGAGGATAAGAAAAGAATGTGTTTATTGAGAGAAAAAAGCTTCCACTTGAGAGAAGACACAGAAAGGATCCTGAGTGGGTTGCCAAAGACTCTTGTCTTTTCTAGGAACTTTCATAGAGCAAAATCATGAGGTAAGACAGGTCTAAGGTGCAGAAAAATGGAAACTCAAGGCAGGTAGACATGAGGTGGGATGGAACTGTGGTCAACTAATAAGATTAATTATGCAGGTAAAATTGATTAAATCTGAGACAAATGGGGAAGCAGGTCATGCAGCAGTGAGCATTCTGACAGAGCAGTGATTTCCTGTGGGGGATCCAGGAACCTCCGTTCCTGGCTTCCTCAAGGTTATGCACACCTATTTAGAAAATCAGCCCCTGATGTTTATATTTAGGGTATGGCTGTATTCAGTTTGCCTTTTGTCTTGAGGTCTGGCCCCTTGGGTGTGTATTACAAGATATCTGGTCTTCTACACTGGCTCCATCAAGGGCCCAGCCTCAAACTTTTGATAATTCTGTATCGGCCTTCCAAGTAGCTAAGATTATAAGGCTGACTTAGATTTTACTGTGCCTAGATTTTTGTCTGGAATAGCAACAATAAAATCAGTCAATTCTAAGAGTTAAGTGACTGAGTTCACAGAAGACTCAGACTTTTGTCTAAACAGTTAAATTTTAGTAGCACATTTGTCTTTATGCAGAGGAGCAAAGGAAAAAACCATATAGTATTATTATATCTAAAAGTACCTGTCCATGTAAGTGCTATACCTACAACTGGTGTCAGGCCTCAGTCTGTACATTAAGTTGTGGAATCTGGAGTTAGAGAAACTTGATTAGTAGCCCTTTAATTTTAGTCCATTTGACCTTAAGCCAATGATCCTCTTCAAACCACAGTTCCCCAGGCTGCACAAAAAGCTTTTGGTGTAATTCCTAGCAGAATTCATGCTCAATAAATGTTGGATTTTTTTTTTTTGCTATTATTCTGTTATTTTTATATCAATGACCCAAAAGTCGTGTGTTGGAGAGTGTTGAAGCTGAATACATGCGCAGGGCTGTGGCGTGACCCGGGCATGATTGAACTGAGAATGAGGAGACGCCTCAGGGGGCAGGATAGGCCACAGCTGAGGCCACCTAGAGACCTTTTTGGATCATTTTCCTTAATTAGCACCTGTTGCTCTGTGGGGTCCTTGAACCTCTCCCAAGATCTGATAGGATTATTTCCAAAAGATGAGAAGTATAAAATAAAAGAGGCCTTTATTCTGAGAACATGGAGAGAGATAACCGGCACCCCCCAACCGCTGGAGTCTGCCCATCTCTCTGGTGGACACTTGGCGTGGGGGTATATAAGTATCCTCGGTTTGGGGTGGAACCTAAGGGGGCATCAGGGATGCATGGGTAACCCATTGGTCCTAGGTTTGGCGCCATAAGTAAATTCCCAGGGGCCGGGAGGGTGGAGTCACAGGTAAATTCCTAGGGGCGGGGCAGATAGGGGCTTCCTGGTTCCGGTTGAGGCTTTCCGGGCTACAGAGTCCTGTCTGGGCCAAAACCCTTTCAAGACCCAGTTCAGGTTTCCTCCATTGACCCCTCAACTCCTTGCTTGTACTGATTAAATACCGGCTGCCTAGTGTCAGTTGGCTGCCACGTAGCAGAGTTACGAGCTCTGCCAAGGATTTCACTCCTGTAGCCCCTAAGGGTCATGCCGCTTGTCTCATTGCTTTGAGCCTTCACCACCGTGCACCCATTGTGGGGTTCGGGGAGTCTAAGCCTTGCCCCTGAGGACTTTGCAATTCTTATTTAACCAAGAGCTTTAATGAGAATGATGGTTGACAGTAGTGTATGTGTGTCTTTTATTTTTTATTTTTGTGTGTGTGTGTGTGTGTGTGTGTGTCTTTTATTACAGTTTTATTACAACTGATACTTTCCTTGTTGAGTAGTAAGTTTTTCTTAAGTAGCCCTTTTGGTGACACAGAGAGAAAATGTCTTAAGTGATAGAATTTTCAGCGTGGCCAAAAAGATCAGAAATATGAAATAAAAGTGGCCTTTATTTTAAGAATGTAGAGAGAGACTCCATCACCTCCGGGGTCTGGCATTCTCTCTGCCCGACATGAGATGTGGGAGCATACATGGAGCTTAGGTTTGGGGTGGAGCCTAAGGGGCATTACTGATGCACAGGTAGCCCATTGGAATACATTTTCCACACAGGTAAATTGCTTAGGGGCAGGGAAGATGACCTCAAGATTGAGCCTCTTGTTTTTTATAAACTGTAACCTTGCCTGCTTCCAGATAGTATAAAGCAATTTTAAAGGGAAACATTATATTTTACTGACAGCAAGATAGCATTTTTATTTACAGTAAGTATAACAAATGAAAAGGGAACAAGAGACCTGGAAAGAGGCCATAATCTTCATTCCAGTGTCAAAACTGGGCAAGTCTGGACAACAAAGGGCTACAAAAAGTGAGTTTGCATGACCAGCGCCATGGCACAGATCTGAATTCCAGTGCTCAGAAGGCCAACACAGGTGGATCAGTAGATGGTTTGAGGCCAAACATGGTGAGACAGAAAATCACAGGGCCAACCTTGAAGTGAAACTGAGTGCTATTCAGGACTTTTCCTCCCAGGTTTCCACACGTAGCACTTGGTGTTGATTGGATGGATGGTTACATTTTTGGAAGCTATAACAGTTTCCTCTTAATATTAAAACAAAAATGAAGGTTTTAAGCTGCAATTCGAGCTCCTTTCTGAGACATTTCCTCTGGAACATTTCTCTTTCACAGGTGAAAATGAAATCCTTGCGACTCTGCATGCCATTTCAAGCAAAAACCAGATCTGGAGGTCGTACATTGGCATGGGCTATTACAACTGCTCAGTGCCGCAAGCCATTCTGCGGAACTTGCTGGAGAACTCAGGATGGTAACGTATCTCCCTCTGCCACCTGCCAAGGTGTCTGGGATCCCACACACTGGTGCCTGGCCCCACTGTTGTCTGCGCTCTGGGAACCTTCCTGGTTTTTCTACTTTGGCAATTTCTTGCTCAGGTGTTGGAAATAAAAGCTTATTCCAGTTTTATTCCTGAAAGGATTTTGCCCCATTTGGGACACTATAGCTGGTGAAAAGCTTGGAGGCGGAACCAAGGGGCTCTATTTTCCCCACCCTTAGAAATTTACCTGTGGTACGAAATGAATACCAGTGGGCTACCTGTGCATCAGTAATGCCCCTTAGGCACCACCCCAAACCTAAGCTACATGTATACCCCCACTCCACAGTTCCGATGGAGAGAATGCCAGCCCCTGGAGACAATGCTAGACCCTGGAGGGTCAGGGGGTCTCTCTCCACATTGTTAAAATAAAGGTCATTTATATTTCATAGTTCTTATCTTTTCAGCCATGCCAAAATTCTGTCATATGGTTCCTTAACCAGGAATCCAATTCTGTCAATTCCCTCCAGTCTTGTACTCTTCCTCATAGAGGCTGGTGATCTCTTCTTTCCAACTTCATTTCAGTGCTTTGAGGAGGATGTCAAACCTGTGGCTGGGTAGGTTTCAGGCTTTGTCTTCTTTGGGGACCCTGAGATTTAAGCTGGGTACCTCAGCCTGCTGTCTACCTGAGAGGATTTTAAGGTGGTGGATACTTACATCCCTCCACTCTCCCCATATCCTTGGGGCCATGCCCACCTGAAAATGAAGAGACATAGTGTCAGATCATGGGAATCATAAAGCATCATCTCTGTTATAAGCACCTTCTTAGAAAGAGCACACGTGTGCAGGAGATAGGCCCTGCTCTAAAGGTAAGAGAAGGGCTGCAGCCCACTGTGCTGGGCTGCTTGTTCCCGTCTTACCTCACTGGTCAGGTAAGTCATCTCTGCTCCGCCAGAGTGTGTGTATTTGTCCTTTTGTATGTGTCAGTGTTCTTGTCCCCTGTGTCTCTCACTGACGGACACAACTGAAAACATGAGGAAAATCTCCTAGGCAACTTCTGTATTATTGGCTGTTTCCCATTTTGGTGGTGGCATATGTCATAAAGAACCAGAATGCTGGGTATGGTGGTGCAGGCCTGTAATCCTAGTACTTTGGAGACTGAGGCAGGCGGATCACTCCAGTTGAAAGCCAGCCTGGACTACAGAGCCAGATCATGTCTCAAAACATTTTAAAAAAAAAAAAATCCCAGCACTAACCAAAACACTTTTGGCTATGTGTGGTGCTGCATGCGTGTATTTTCAGTACTGGGGTAGCTGAGTCAGGAACCATCAACATAGTTCAAGTCTTATCTGAATTATGTAGTGAGAACTTATCTCAGGAAAAAAGAAAGAAAGCAGCTTGGGACATCCCATGACATCCCCAGCCGTTATCCCACAGCGACCATCTGCTGGGAAATCATGTTTAGCTGCAGAGGGAAAGTTGCGGACCTTTTTTCCTCCATTACTTGTCACAATATATTTGAATTGAAATCTTGGGAACCTTATTTCAAATGATGCCTTGGTCTCAAAGGGAAAAGGTCTGATTTGTTTGTGTGTGTTTCATATATTTGATTTTTTTTTTCCTTTCTGGGTTTTTCTCACTATGTAGCTTAGGCTGCCCTCAAACTCGCATCGACTCTCCTGCAGCAGCCTCTCAAGTGCTGGAATCACAGGTGTGTGCCACCACACACACTTATTTGAGGGGAGAGGTATTTACTCTTTCCCAGGGAGAAGAGGTGGTGATGAGTGGTAGTGGTTTTTGCATCATGAGTGAGTTGAATTTCTGGTGTGATCAGTGTGGTATGACAACAGAGTGAACACTTGTCCCTGCCCAGAGCCCAGAGGTATTGGAAACAAGGCACAGACCAGGATTGTTCTCACTGATGTTCATAAGAGCCAGCTTTCCTCAGTGGCAGACATAGGATTACCTTAACAGGAGCTTTGGAAATACCAGGTGTAGCCCCCAGGTCCGTATCTTACAGTTTTGATCAGTACTTTGCGTCTTTTGTTTGCTTTTCTCTAAGTGCAAATGTGCTAGGGAGCGAGGCTCCGCTTTGTCCCAGAAGCAGTGGCCCACGTCTCCTGCAGGAGTCAGATCTGTTCGCATAGGCGTGTCTGCATCACCAGCCCTGTGCAGAGCATCTCAGTTCAGGGTTCTCCCTGCTTTTTAAAACGCAAATAGAAAAGCAGAATCACCAAAAACAAAATTGTTTTCGGCTGTGGGTATGAGAAAGCGTCTGCTTCACTGGAGGCTGCTTTTCACTGTGGTGCTCTTAAGAGTTTGGTGAACTCCAGGGTCGGTTGCTCCTAAGGGAAGCCTCTGAGGGCTGCAGCCGCCCGGCTGTCTGGGCACTGGCCCGCTGCTTTGCGCTCGGTGGCCATCCAGGCTGCTGCCCATGTCGGTCCCTGTGTGAGTGGATGTGGGAATTTACTTTAGGAGCAGCCAGCATTTCAAGAGGGAGACAGTGTCATTCTGTGCTTTTTCAGCCTCTGTTTTGGAGTGCATTTTAAACACTGGTTCAGATCAGCTTTCCGAGAACAAGAAAGACAGACAAAGGCCTGGGCCCGCTCTGATAGGGAGGGCTGTACACATGTGGGTGAGGGACTTCACATTATCACTCTTTGGAATGGTTTCCATAGAGATGGAGCCAACGAATTCCGGTGACGTGAGGTGAAAATAAATGGGCAGCATAGCCTCGAAAGAATACAAGTATTTAGGCCCTTAGAAGAAAGATTACACCAGGTCTAGAATTTGTTTTGTGGGCCCCACTGTTCCAAATTTTCAACAGTTAACATCAGTAACTAATAGCAGAGCATGAATGTCACCTCTGTGGCTTTCTGTTCTGTAAAATGTTGGCACCAAGGCTGAGAGAGTCTCATGAGTGAGTGTCTCCTGCAAATCCCTACCACCTCCCTCCTTACATTCCTAAAGGAAGTCACAGCCAGAGTGATGATGATGACTGATTGCTTTGGAATAAATGTTAATGCCTTGTTGAATATGTCAAGCATCCTGTCTGAGCAGAACTAAAACCTTTCTTGACGTGTAATACTGGTAAAAGCCAGTAATTAGTTGCAATATAGACGTTAGAGATCAGACTTTGGTGGGTGTGTGTGGTGCTGGGGATTGAACCCAGGGCCTCATTGTGGTAGGCTAGTGCTCTGCCGCTGAGCTACAGCCCAGTCTCACAGGTGATTTTCTTTTTTTCCCCATGTTTCTCTTTTAGTTTAATTTTTTATATTCTATTTTATTTCTCTATTTACATATCTAAATAAATTGAAAACCATGAGTTCGCACTAATACCTTTAATTCCAAATCAGTGCCACAGTTTTCATCTTAGTTGCCTCAATTTCCACATTTTTGTTTGTTTGTTTGTTACTGTTGTTGCTTTGAGACAAAGTCTCACTATGTGGTTCAGGCTGACCTTGATCCTCCTGCCGCAGCCTCAGTGCTGGGATTATGGGTATGCACTACCGTGCCTAATCTTTTTCTTGGCACATGCTTTCTGTCCATAATGATTATATTCCTATATTCCTCAGGGGAGTTTCTACATGAACATAATGCATCCTGATTCCTTTTATATTCCCTTACCCTCTCCCCCTCCCGTCCCTCTGTAGACTTCTTCCTTCTCCCTCCCTCCCTCTCCTCCCTCCTCCTCCTTTTCCTTTCCTCCCCCCCTCTCCCCCTCTCTTTTTTCCCCTCTGTCTCTCTCTATGTCTCTCTGACAAAGATGGGGTGGGCATAGTGCTTCTGAATCTTAATAGTAACTAGTCATTATTTGGCTCTAAAAAAAGTTCATATTTTCCTTGAGAATTTGCAGAGCAATGATGCCTTTGAAAGAGTAAGAATGTTCAGGATGAGAAACGGTGGTCACCCCGAGAACAGAGACTAAAGCCAATGTGTGCTCGTACATATGCAGAAAAAATGTTTTCAAATAGAAACGCCTGACAGCCCCTTACTGAAGCATCCTTTGAGAAAGGTCTCTGAGTGTGCACTTTCCAGGTTTTCTTGAAGGTCAAAATAGGGGGGAAATGCACCATCTCCTGGATCTCTGAAAATATTGATTGTATAACTGACTTTTAAAACACATAGACACTTGTATATCCCCAAAAGTTAAGGATTTAGAAGTTGCAGGATCAGTGTTCTTTTTAACTCAGAAGAATTTGATAATTTATAGTTGCTGGTCACTTGACTAACAATTGGGTAGTACAATGCCACTTCTGAAATTCTTGATGTACGTGAATGTAGTTTGAGTATGAAGGAAAAAAATCCAATATGGCTGCCATGTTCTCCATTGACAGACAAGGGAATTGTTTAGAAAGAAGTTAAGTTACTTGTTCAAGTTCATGAAACTTGAGGTTAAATCTAAGGCCTCTTAATACTTAGTATTACTGAAGATGCAAAGAAATCTGCGATTCCTTCACTGCATACAGAAATGTAGACCCGATGAATGTTCTAGACAGGAACAGGGCAGTGTGTCTGAGAGCATAACATTAACTATCACACGTGAACTGAGAGTCTACTGGGGATGTTGTTCTAAGGATTTAAGAACTAACTATGGATACTCATTTTTTCCCCCTGTCTTTTGGAGACAGTTTCACTGTTCAGTTCAGGCTGGCCTTAAACTCACTTTATAGCCAAGGCTGGCCTTGAACCTCCAGCAATCCTCCTGTCTCAGCCTCCCAAGTGCTGGAATCACATGTGTGAGCTACCACACTCAGCTGGATACTCATTTTTGTGGTCTTTTTCATTTTTATTGGTATCGGGGATCGAACTCATGACTGCCTGCTTGCAAGGCAGGTGCTTATGCCGCTGAGCTAAATCCCCAGCCCCATGGATACTCACTTTTATGCTAGTTTTTTTTGTTATTGTTATGTTTTTGAGACAGGGTCTTACTATGTAGCCCAGGCTGGCCTTGAACCCATGTTGATCCTCCTGCTTCAGTCTCGTGAGTGCTTGGA